CTCTCTCAAATAAATAAATAAAATCTTTAAAAAAAAAATTTAAAAAAAAGTCACAATATTTATGACTACCAAAAAATGTTATTGTTAGGAAAGTGGACAATAAAGAGAAAACACATAAAATTGAGAAGTGAGGAGTAGAAGGGAATAGATTAACTTTATGATGTTATCATAATAGAGAGTTGGTCAATATCAATTAGAAATAAAATATTACAATTAAAAAATCATAATCACTTCAATCTTTTAATGCTTTTCATAACTATTTTTATTTTAAAGGAGTTTTTAGGAAATCTTTTTTATAAAAAAGAAACATTTATCTTATTTTATTTTTAAGTTTTTATTTACATTATAGTTAACATACATACAATATTAGTCTCAGGTATACAATATAGTGATTCAACATATCCATAAAACACCCTGTGTTCATTGTAATAAGTGCACTCCTTAATCCCCATTACCTATTTCACCCATCCCCCTATCCACCTCCCCTCTGGTGACCATCAGTTTGTTCTCTAGAGTGAAGAGTCTGTTTCTTGGTTTGTCTCTCTCTCTGTTTTTTCCCTTTGCTCGTTTGTTTTGTTTCTTAAATTCCACATGAGTGAAATCATATGGTATTTGTCTTTCTCTCACTGACTTACTTCCCTTAACATAATGTTCTCTGGTTCCATTCATGTCTTTGCAAATGGCATGATTTCATTCTTTTTATGGTGGAGTAATATTCTATTACATATATATATGTATATATATACCACATCTTCTTTATCCATTTATCCATTGTTGGACACTTGGGCTATTTCCATAATTTGGCTATTGTAGATAATGCTGTTGTAAACATCAGGGTGCATGTATCCCTTTGAATTAGCATTTTTGTATTCTTTGAGTAAATACCTAGTAGTTCAATTGCTGAATCACAGGGTAGTTCTATTTTTAACTTTTTGAGGAACCTCCATACTGTTCTCCAGTATGGCTGTACCACCAGTCTGTGTTCCCACCAGCAGAGCACGAGGGTTCCCCTAAGAAGAAATATTTAATCAAAGTTTCAACATTTCCTTCAATTTCACTTCTTTTCCTTCTATCAAATACAAATAAGATTAAGTTTGGTATTTGAGATTGTTATTTATGCCGTGTCTTTATGCTGATTTTTATAAGAGTATTTTAAAAATCATATTTTATCTTTTTATCCATCTGCCATCCTGTGTATATAAATATAAATGAAAAGTTGACTAAGATGATATTTAATAGTATTTTCCTTTTTCTGGGTAATAGGATTCAGGATAATTCTTTTAGCTCTTATATTTATACTTTTCTGCTTACTTTAAATTTTTTGTAACAGTCCATGTCAATTTTAGACAAAAAAAAATAATATAGTCTTGAAGATTTGAAGCACCTATCTCCAGATATTAGCAATGATTAATTCTAGGTGGTAGGAATATGAGTAGTTGTTATCTTATTCTTTGTACTTTTCAATAGTTTTTAAAGATTTTATTTATTTATTTATTTGAGAGAGAGAGAGCGTGAGCAGGGGGAGGGGCAGAGGGAGAAGCAAACTCCCCACTGAGCAGGAAGATAGACATGGGGCTCCAACCCAGGACCCTGGGATCATGACCTGAGCCGAAGGCAGATGCTTAACTGACTGAGCCACCCGGGTGCCCCCAGTAGTTTTTAAATCCTCCCCACAAACAAACGAACAAACAAACCAAAAAAGGAGTGGAAAGACCATGGACTTTTGAATCAGAAAGTTATTCTCTGCTCCACTACCCACTAGCTGGGTAGGTAGGCTTCAGTTCTCTCACCTGTGAAATGGGTTACCATTGCCTGTTCTTGGGCTTGTTATGAGGATAGTGTGAGAGAAAGTAAAGAAGCTGTCTAGCACCATGCCTAACTCTTAGGTGCTCTGTGTTGGCTAATTCCATTCTTCCCCCCATTATATAGAGCTACATGGAGACTGGCAGGTATGTATCTTTATAATATGGCCCAGAGAACCTGGAAGCTTGCCCTCTGATTGCCTGGAATGGGTGAGGCCAGCCCTTCCTTGCCTATACTAAATTTATTCATCTGGATGAATGAGGAAGGCAACACCTCACCTGGAACATTAGACATGAACGAATTTCCTTTCACTAGAGCTCATTTTAGTTAACTTTTTATTATAAAGATAATATTTTGTTGTGTTGAAAACTCAAATAGTTCAGAAGGATACCTGTTGTTACTAAGCCTTAGATATCCTAATGCTTATTTTTTGGTCCATAGTACATCTCTCAGGCTGCCTCTTTTACCCAGAGCCTGAATAAACATTCTATGTTCTGATTTTAGATGTGCAAAATACATGTTTATTGAGCAGTCAGAACTCCTCATGGGGAGATAAACATAAAAAAATCAGTGTGATTTTTCTTCAATCACTTTCTTCAGTCACATTTGGTTGACATCTTTCCTGATATTTAATGACATTTCACAAGAAGACTTCAATCCTATATCCAGTTTAATGCCACCCTTCTTTCTCCATTTTAAACAAGGTTGGGGTGGGTAGGAGTTTGGGGTGCTTTCTTTCCAATTCTCTGTGTTCCTTGATCAAATAAGCCCAAAGATCAGCCAGTGCCCTGTATGAATAGTCTTGTAGCTAGGGAATGAGATGCCACATGTCCCTAGGAGTAAATCTCCTGGACCACACCCCCATGTTTCGATTTGGCTTAGGGGTGGGGAAGCTATACCAAGCACTCCTAAGGCAGCAACTACCACCTCCAAAGACCCCTCTGTTTCTTTGTCTCTCTCTCTCTCTCTTCTAATTACATAGACTGTGGTAGCGGGATGGTCTTCGGGGGTAGCCCTGCTTGTTTAGACTCTTCTTTGTAAGCCCTTCAGAGGGAATGTCTGCTCCACCTTCAATTATTTGCTTCCCTTCTGGAACAACAGGGAAAATTCCAGTCCATCTACAGATATATACACCTGTCTGGATCATGGGGGCTTACTGTTAGTAGGAAGACAATGGGGTTTCTGTACAGTGGTTCCCAAAGAGCTTTTGAATTGTGTTTACTAGTAAAATGAAACAAAGGGAAGGTATGAGGGAGGAGTCTGACCATAGAAGCTTATGCTTTTTAAAGTAAGGCATAGCTTTTGTTGTTTCCTAGAAATGGGACCACACCATACATACCATTCTGAGAGTTGCTTTTCTCAAAGATATCTGGAGCTCTTTCCAAGTTTCTAAGTGCATTACCTCATTCTTGGTTCAGCTGCAAAGAGCTCTGCAAGGAGAATTTTGGATCTACTGCTTGCTGAGTAGGGTATACTCAGAGCCATGTAGCAGCTTCTGGACCAACAACTCCATCAAGTGATCTAAGTTCTTTGCTTTTAGGGTAAGAGAGTGTCATTATGAGCACTTGACAGGGTGTCTTTTTAAAGTGTACTTTGCAGGGAGATGGCCCTTTGGGTCTGCTTTAGAGATAGGTCATGTGAAAGTTAAGTTTTCTTCTCTTCTGAATGAGGAGGCCAAATCATCAGTAAACTACATTTTGTTAAATTTGAAACATGTTTCATTTACTTTGTTGTTATGGAAATATGTTGAAATGACTGAAAAAAATCACTGGAAAAAGCGATAGTATTCAAAATCTGTGGGTTCAGGAAATAAAATAGAAAATATGCACAACTTTCTTGGTTGTTGTTGTTTTTGTTGATGATGATGATAATTGTTGATTTTTAAAAGAGAGAATGTACAACACTTAGCGTACAGCTTTGCATACATTAGGTAATCAGTAAATGGTAGCTACCAATATTCCAAAGATGTTTTTTATCTAGTTGGTGGCATGGGGTAGAACTGCAAACAAAGGAGTTGTTATAATGCAAGGCTGTGGAGTGTCATCTCTGTGGGGTTAGATGCTTGGATTTAAATCTTAGTTACATCACCCACTAGCTGTGTGACCATGAGCAAGTTGCTTAATCATTCCATGCCTCTCTATTTTCATTTGCAGAACTGAGGCAATAATAGTATCTACATTAGAGGATTGTTGTGAAGATTAATTTATAATTTGAAAGAAACAAAACAAAAACTTTACCAGAATTCTTGACACACAGCAAGAACTCAGAAAGGATAAGTGCTATTGTTAATGGTTAATTATTACCAGTAGTTATGGACAAATTATTAGAGGAGTGTAAACATAGAATGTGATGCTTCATGAAGTTTCCAGCACTGGAAGTATTCAGCTGGAAAGTAGCTTAGTGAGATCGTGGGGATTCAGATATTGGGGGAAGGAAATATTAGGAAAGGACCATGCTCCTTCCTCCATTAGACAGGAAACACAGTATGATGGCTGCTTACATTGAAATCCTGACGCTGTTACTTATTAGCTGTGTAACCCTGGGAAAGTTACTTAACTTCTCTCTGCCTCAGGTAGGCCACTTTTGCAAAATGGGATAATTACAGTTCCTACCTCCTAGTTTGTACAAGGATTAAAAGACTTCATATATGATGAGTGCCTAGAATGGTACTTTATTCCAAACCTGAGATTCTTTCTCTATGAAATCCATTCATTTCTCTCTTTTTTTTTTTTTCCCTCTCCTTCCTTTTCTCCTTTTCTCCTTCCTTTCTCTCTGTTTCTCAAAATAGGAGCCACTGTGGGCCTCTGTTGCTTTAGAATTTTCTTTAGGACCTGACCTTCAAGCTGGCTCTTGACTATGAAGGGTGACTTTGCATTTTAACTTGTTTGTTTGGGGGTTTGCACGTATGTTTGTTGAGAACGTGTTTCGACAACAATCTGTCAGCCCAGTAATGAGGGTTTGCTAATGAGGCTCCTGACAGACACTTTTTATTTACAAAGATGACAAATGCCACTACTTGGCTGTGCTTGAATCATTCCAAAGGCCAGTGGACTCATTATAGCCATCAATACTTGTTACACTGAGGCTCATTTTGTTCGAGGACTGTGTATAATTTGGACTTCTGTTAATTGAATCATTTTTGATGTTCTTGCAAAGGGAAGAACCTTTTAAAATTCCTGTCCTTTTACCCATCTCTGAACTTACCTGTTTTGTAATGACTAACTTTTGCAAATCACATATTAGACACCATTTGCTGCTGTTAAAACTGCGGGTATTATTTTAGGATGTTTGCCGGACTCCCTTAGCCTTTCTATGTCTGTAAGGCGGAGGTTGAAACATGCACATGAACACAGGACCCAGGCAGGTAATGGAAATAAGTGAAGGGCTGGGTGGAGGCTGGTGAGTTGGAGGCACCTGCCCTGTCTGATGGGACCAGCTGCCCTTCACCATAAGCCAACTGTGACCACCATCCCCAGGCCTCCTATTTTTTCAAAAGGAGGAAATTCACATTGGTATGTGAAATCCCTGTCTTTTTAGATGCTTTTTGGAGATGTTGGCAATGAATTCAACAGAATGTTGAAGCCTAGTGGCTTCCAGACTTGTATCTGTACCTAAGGTCTGAAGCACTTTGCAGTAGTTTCTTTGCTAGTTAAAAACAAACAGAACAACAACAACAACAACAACAAAAACAACAAAACCAGCAATAAACTTGTAGGAATAGATAAGAGACCTGTTTATTTTCTCTTTGCAGATTGGTATAGGGGATACCTCCTAAAGCACAAAATGTTACAGGTAAGGCCAATCTGTTTTTATTTGAAACAATGTTAGATGTCTTTACATGAGGCTTCAATCCCTTTGGGCAATTATCTCCCACTATAGCTCCCCAGCATTTTTGTCTCATTTCTCCTTCCTTGTGTCCTGTGCTTTCCCACCTCTACACGTTGGCCCTTGCTGTGCCTCAACTCCCTTCCCCGTTAAGGCTAACCTCTGGAGCTCGACTCTTCCTGATATGCCAATTACATATGATTTCTCCCTTCCTTGACTCCCCATGGAATTGTGCATGTTTTATTTGCAATTTATCTTCTGCTGCCTTTCTCTAGAGTTGTGTGGGGGCATTCGACATTGCCTCACCTCATGGAGACAAGTCCAGTCTCTGCCCTTGGGGAGTTCACTTGTTCCAACTCCATATTACACCATGGTCTCCATGAGAGCAGCCACCTGCTTTACTGGTCTTATTGCTCACGGTGTCTAGTGCAGAAGCGGATGTCTCCAGTGTGCACCCTGGTTAATTTATGAAGGATTTCCAAGTAATTGATAAGCTTCTCTTGTTAACTGAGCCAAGCTTAGGGGGCAAGGAAATAAGACACTTCTTCCTTCCTCCCTGACATGTTGATTAGGAGGCATGATCCTACTCTGCTCTCCAAAGAACAATAAAATAAATCCAGGGGAAAATAAGTCTCATATCAAGATAGCCCATATGCAACCAAGGATGCTGTTTTGCTTTAGGACCTGATGTTCCAGCTATGACTGAAGGGTGACTGCTTTCCTGGCCTTGGGCAGGACAGGGGAGAGACAGAGCACCTTGTCTCACTTAGAGTGAGTCTTTTATGCTCTCCTGTCTTGTCCATCTGGAAGGATGAGTGTCCACAATGGGACTGGAGCATCCTTGGGAATCTAGGGTTATTACGGGATCTAGAACAACCAGTGGAGAGCTGGTGAGAAGTAGAAATAAGAGAATGAATTATTCCTGTAAAGTTTGAGGGTTTTACCAGTCCATGTTTTTTGGGAAAAACCATGACGGCCTGGGTTCAGTTATTTCTGTAAGGATATGTCATTTTATTTTATTCTATCTTATTTTATTCCCAACAGGGCATTTTCCCTAAATCCTTTATCCACATCAAGGAAGTGACAGTGGAGAAAAGAAGGTATTTGTCATTCTTCACCAGACCTGACCCTCCCACAGCTCACAGATGTCTCTGTCCTATCTGCTTTGAAAGCCTGACTTGGCAGATGTGAATCAGCTGATCCCCCTTCTCCGTGCCCATGTTTATTTGTGTGTCCCCTTTTCCTCATGCAATGGGATATCTAATCCACATTGATTCCATTCAGATCTGATTCTGAGGGGGTATTAGGAAGTTTGGAGAATCAAACTTTTCACCGGGCAGCTGCCCTTGAACTATATTAAAGTCGATTAATCCTGAATAATGAGCTGAAGGGCCCACCCCAGTGAAGGAGGACATTAAAAAGGAAGTTCTTTGCATTTGCATAATGTAATTGGTGTGGCTATTGGAGGCGTTTAGTCTCCTGCCAGCAAGGCCCCTCTCAGCAGCTGCAACTTAATGCAAATTTGCCAACATTTTATCTTGTTAGCACCTGGGTCTCAATTTCACACAATTTTGTCTCCCACCTTAAATAGAAATATCGAGAACATCATTCCTGCAGAAATTCCTCTGGCACAAGAAGTGACGACGACACTTTGGGAATGGGGCAGCATCTGGAAACAGCTCTACGTGGTGAGACCCAGAACCCCGCTCCCTGGGATGGACGCTTCCTGAGGTCTTTGCTTTGGTTCAGATTTGGAATTTAGCCATTAGCAGGGCAGGCCAAGGTAGTTCCCGTGACATAGTAGGACAAACAGTATGAGTACATCGAGGTCCAGAGAAGTTAGGTAACTTTCTCAAAGCCACACAGTGAGCTTGTGACCCAGCCATAATACATGGGGGTCTGATGTGATCCTTTGGTTTTAAAACGAGTGCAAAAATTTTTGTTAAAAAAATAAAGCTTCCTGTCATGAGACTCCACATTATAATAAACCCTGGGGATTTTGATTTGGTAGTCTGCTGACAATACCTGGAAAAACACCGTTCTAATATATTAATTAACTTAATTAACTAATTAATGGCTATTGTCCTTAGGTCTATGAGGAAGCTTTGACCCTGGAAAAACAAAGAGCACATTTTGTATGTGTTTTCCCTGTACTGAAGCAAATCTAATTTTAAATCCTCCTTTGATGATTCTAAAGCTCCTAATGAAAACAATTAGCTAAGAAAACCATTAAGCTGAGAGTGAAAATGTCAACCAAGTCTTACTACATCTCTGTTACAGCACTGTGCACACCTGCTGGTGTACACACGCTATTTGTAGACTTAAATTTTATGGTCATAAATGTCGACTCCCATGTGGATACCTCATAATATATGGTAATTGGCACATCTAATTCTATAAAAGTTTCCCAAAAGTTGTTAGGAAAGTTTCGGGGGAAAATGGTAACTTGAAGCTCAAGTGGTTTAAGTATTCATCTCTATTACCCCCTTTTTTTTTTAAAGATTTTATTTATTTATTTGACAGAGAGA